TATCTTGCTTTTTATATTCTGTCCAAATGTTCTAACTCCTTTGCTATTTTATGAGCAGTGGCCTCCAGGAAGGCTCACGAAGTGCCCCAATTTGTGCTCGTAGAATTGGAAGGTCAAAATTGAAACTGACGTCTTATTCAAAGCATCGTCGAAACACGCAGACCACTCTGGTACTCCCTCCCAGAAAAGTGCACTGCGAGTTGCATTGGTCGAGGCCTCTAGTTTAAACCATGTCCGAAATTGGAATCCCAATAATGAGGGAGCGGGAATCTTTTCTAATCGAGCAAGCTCAATAACGAATTCGTCACGGCAATTTCTTCAAGGTAAGACTATTCATCGAACTAGGAGACATGTCATTCAACTCTTTCATAGACATTGGAGCATGGCAACACGTGGAGGAATCCCGAACAACCCCTATCGAAGAGATGCAAGTATGGGATGGGGTCAGCGACTCTAGAATCCACTTTAGTGGCAGAAAATCCACCGAAACGAACGTAACTGAGATGGCAAGGCTCACGGAGAATCTCAATCTCCAGCGGGCTCTCCTTCGACAAATCGATAACTCGGCGACATCGGGAATTTTGACCCTTATGGATGAAACCAAGGTGCAATCTATCAATTCCGATGGCGAAAGTGGACATTCGCCTCAGGGCCCACATAACACGGGATGGCCGTTGCTGCAACTATCGAATTCCAGATCGATCCGAGCTCGCCTCTTGGTCGGTGCGGATGGACCGTCTTCACCTGTCCGGGCCTACTCGAAAATTGATAGTTTTGGTTGGTCGTACAATATGCGGGCCGTGGTGGCCACCCTCCAACACGAGGCACCCCTAAACTCGTTCGGGTTACAAAGGACACACACCACAGCATATCAGCGATTTTTACCAACAGGTCCCGTAGCATTCCTACCACTCTCCCCTACACGTGCATCTCTGGTTTGGAGTACCACGCCCGAGTTGGCACAAGCCTTGGTTGAATCGGGAGGAAAAGTTTTAGCGAGATTGATCAACGCAGCCTTTAGGTTACCGGATCTTTCAATGAAATATCTACATACCTTTTTGCTCGATAAATGGCAAGAAAGCAAGCGTTCCCCAAAAGACTCTGCATGGGTGACCGAAGAGGAAATCGTTGAGGAGATACGGTGGAGGGAGAGGTCACACTCTATCGATGCTGGCTCCCCATTAAGCTCCATCAGCATGTCTGATGAATTGAGCATACCTTCCCCAGACGCGGACATGTACCCTCCTCTCATTCACTCCGTTCAGCCACGCTCTGCTGCGTCGTTCCCACTCCGAATGAACCATGCTGATACGTACTTGGGATCAAGAACTGCGCTGGTTGGGGATGCAGCGCATACAGTGCATCCTCTCGCTGGTCAAGGTTTGAACCTTGGTATCGCCGATGCGCAGTCGTTAGCGCAAACCATTCAGTCCGCCAGTGATCTTGGACTGGACGTGGGTTCCCCTACGGCTCTTCAAGCATATCCTCGTGAGAGATATCTGGCCAATCACGCTATGCTCAGTGGGGTCGACAAACTCGCCAAACTTTACGGGACCAGTTTTGGACCAGTAGTCTGGATGCGAAGTGTGGGACTGGACGTTGTCAATGAATGGGACGGCTTAAAAGACATGTTCATGGGAGTAGCGGGTGCAGGTGATAAAGGTCTTCAGACTGATTTGATCCGAAGAGGAGAAACAAAGCAATTTCGAAGCGTAGGGGCGCAGGAAGGAGACAGACAGTCATCACACTGGCCGAATATTCTTGCTACGGCAGTGGAGGGCATTGGTGATGCGTTCGATGGCGCGAGAACTCTGCTAGGTGCAGGCATGAGAAACGGCCGCCGCTAAGCGCATATGTGTGGACACACTTTGTACATCGCGCCTACATTTAACGAGGCAAGGTCCGAGTTCAAGTGCCGCCGTCCGTCGGGAACAGTGAGAGGAATGTGTGTCACGAGGAATTGGCAACTTCGCTATCCTCGACATCTTCTCTTCGACCCCCCATCTCCACTTCTTGTACCTCCTGTTGATATACCAATCTACGCGGCAAATTTT